TKTRTWTKAAAGTGATTGAGCTAASGAATTAAAACTGMAGARTGCAATCCTCTCCTTCATCAGTGATCTCCAGGTACCAGGTTTTGAAAATCSATTTCAAGACTTGTTTCAGGTCTTKATTTTTATTTTCAAGACCTGGTTCAAKCTTTAGTCAGCCCCAATCTCCCCTGATGATAATCAATGCCGCCCCCAGCTTTTAGAATGCAGGTTTTACCTAAAATACCAAAACCGATTGAAAACAATAGAAAATGGGTGTGGTAGGTCAGTAATACAATTCTATGTATAGTCTAAGAGCTTTTTAATTCTATTAGAACAGATTTTTATTAAAACGAGTACAATTCTCGCCGAAAAAAAAAACACATTTTTGCAGACATTTTTTCGCACTCCTTTTGTCTGAATCTTTTTCATCTTTGTCTGAACTTTTCCCTTGTTTTCGCAGACCATATTGGTCTTGAACTACCTTCGCTACATTGCTCATATAGTAAAGAATGTTTTCTACCAAATCAGAAATTGTTGTTCCGCAGAAGTTGTAAAATTCTCGTAATGCAAGCTTTACTTCGTTCGCCTCTCCATCGACTACATCTTCCTTCTCTTGCCCGCTCTTGAAGTAGATCAACAAGGACCAATCAGGTGCYGTGTAATAYGTGCGCGCRTTGTGATTGGTTGTCTAAAAATAGATTATCGGGACATYTGATGGTGGCGATATCATTGGGGAGATGGACACTTCTGGTTATGTACTTCTGTTATTCGTTTATTGACTTTTGTAATGTAACATTTTAGGAACCGTTTGTTCGTTCGTTTGTAATTAACGTAACAATGTGAATAAACGTCAACGACGAGTTCAAGAAGTTTAGCTATTATACATAGTGTAATCCAAGAAATGCTTTGTCACTATAGGATTCCACCTAATAGGATTCAACAGGAATGAAACGCAATTCTAAACAAATTACTGCTTTTTATGGAAAGTGCAGACTCGAGTCACTCAAAACAGTGAAACCCCTTTTAGACCGGTGATATGGTGATCAACAATGATTTTCGGTATTGGAATACAATATTTTCAATACTCAACCTTTTCTTGAATAGCTGTAAACGGTAAAAAAGTTTTTTTACATCGCGRAYGATACTCACCTTTCATATGCTTTAAGAAATAGGTCGCGTCACCATAGGAAATCGGCTGTGCAGGAATTGTGGGTAACTCACTCTCATTGATCGGTCGCCGATAGATACCCTCGATAGACGGAAGTACGGGAGTCTGTGGGTCACCAACACCTGCACCGAGTGCTGTGTAAATTGTACCTCTCTGAACCCCTGTTGGTGGCATCCAGACACCATTTGGATATACCTTGTCAGGAGTGATACCTTCAGGTGCATATTCTTTAGGGTCTGTGTAAAGAATCGCTCCACTTGCTTTGAAGCGTGCTGCATTAGCAACCTTTGAATAGTAAGACACACGTTAAATTTCAGTTAATAGATCATCAAACCTAAAACCGAAGAGTGTTTTAAGTACTCAGAACTGTTCATTTTGTTATGAACTGCTCATTCCAGCAGCCAGTTCTAACACATCATACCTTTGCATGGAACTAATTTAGTTAAACATCTAATTCAGGTCCGCATTATGAAAAAATTTGTAAGGCAGCCCTACGGGCCTGTTTATGGGTAAATGAATGAATAACTTGACTTGATGTAAATAGAATAAATACAGTTAAGTGAAGAAATTCTAACCCATAATTTGCAATAATTTTGCTTTTCTACTAGTCGACCGATAAGACTATCAACAATTAATCATCTCTCTTACCTTATCACCGCGAAATATYCTTCCATATCGCATTATTGCTATCTTTCCCTCTACTGAAACATTCAATTCGWTTTTTAACTTCTCAAAGTCTTCAACCCGTCCGTAGTTCACATAAACAAGCTCTCCTTCATGAGTTCCTTTAGGCGCATATCCAAGCACAGGACGGACAACCATGGTGTCATTCTCAGCTTCGTCGTGTACCTAAGAATATTAGAGAGTTTAAGCATCACGTTAACGGCAAACGACTAACGGCAGAGCTGAACCAATGACCTAAGAATTTCGTGCCTGACCTTGTGCTTTTAGTAGTCATTCGAAAGAGCGGCTTTCACGATTATGGCAACCTCAAAATAACCCGCTGTCGCGTTGAAACTGCAATGTTAAACTCAAAAAAAGCAGATCACGTGATCTTTTCTGCCGTTTGCCGTTTGTCGTGAACGTCATGCTAAACCTCTCTATTATGTACTTATTGACCGAGTACAGAGTAAAATAAGCATTTTATCATATGGTCCAATTATATAAGACCCAGAAAATTKAAAAAACACCGCAAACGAGAGAAAATTGAAAGCGCGCCACTCCATCCCACATTTTTATTTGGAGTGCGGGAGCGAGATGGATAAGGGATTTTCAAGGACGGCTCCGTTTCTAATCACGCTCACGCAATCTTTTTCCAAAGATTTTCTAAGAGCGCCAGCGAGGACAACTACGGATAAAGAGCATTTTGAGATTCATTAGTGATTTTAGTAAATTTGAAGTTTTTCTTTGGCGTACAGCAGTGAATAAACTATGAACTCAAAAATCACATTAAAAAATATACAGATGATAACAGTGTTATGCAACGAACCCAACACTCATAAAGCCGGAAAAGGAAATGCGCTCACTAGCTGTGTGAATATAGTAAGTGTCCGCTGATTAGAAATAACGATACCATGAAGAGTTTCCAAAGTGGCCGTCATGGCGCTTCATAAAGAAAACGATCAATTTAGAGCTCGTACAAGAAACATTCAATTGAAAGTGAAGATAACAAAACATGACTAAAATGAAAAATGACCAAATTTATGAGTTAGTGGATAAACAATATAAAAAGAGGAAATGAAATAAGGTGTGGCAATTACCTTCTCTTCTCCGAGGCTTTCATATATCACAGTGCCATTATCATACATCAGTGTTACTTTATTAGGCATATCAGCTCTGGGATATGACAAAAGAACGTTGTATGCTGGCATCTCGACTTTGTCAAATCCATAGCTGGTCCACCGGTCTTTCAACATGTCAGCTAACTCTTTCTGTCGATCCGAGGCTGCAATGTGCGGCCGCTCAGAAAAGGTTCTGGCATCAAATAACTTATAGTTATTATTTTGTTCGATATTTGTTTATTTTTATMAACAMAACATTTTCTGTAGCCRGGATYCAATGAGTCGAAACTCTTACCCTAGTCTACCAYAATTCATGACCGTACAGTGCTGTCTGTAAAWGCGTGAAGCATTTAGGGATTGTTCATTAAATATRCCTCAGGGTGGTCTTCAGGAAAAATCAAAAAAACCTTGGAAAAATTCGCAGCCCCCCTTACCCTATCACAATTTTTTTCGAGCCCCCCGTACTTTTGACATGGAACAAAAATAGCCCCCCCCCCGACCCTCAATATGTATAAAGCAATGTAAACTAGCTAATCTTCAAACTTTAAGGTGTTTCATAGTGGTTGGCACTCCCGCGCACCTAAAAAAACAGCAATTTGACCATTTTAATGTTACTCGATTTTCTTAAAATAAACAGGCAATGCTGTACTTGGATGGAAAATTTTAAAACATGTATCGATTTAATTTGCTGGAAAAATAGCAGTTTTATGGTAGAAAGAAAGAATTCAAAGAAAGCTGTTTTCCGGMCAATTTYGATGACACCTAGAAAAACCAAAAGTACTGCGTWTAACTGTTGGATATTGTTTTTATATATCTCAAAATCAAGGAAATTCTTCTAGCTGATTTTGAGAAAAACGATTAAACYTGTATGTGTTGCGTTTTTTGTGCTTTTACAAACACGCTCACAATTGGTTCAKATTCATGATAAAATGTTAATATCTGAAGCTCAGTTTTACAGCAATTGACTTGCTTGCTTGGCTTATAAGATAATGTTGTACAAGTATAAAGTTATTTCTCTTGGCAGTTTTGAAGATGTGATTTTTTTCAGTACACCGTGTTTTATATGCAGCGACTCTGAAAAAGTGTAGTTTTAGCGCTTTTCCAATTAATTCAAAAATAAGGCCCAATTTTTTTTTCTTAACTGAGTTATTTCATCGCTATATGGATGACATTGTTGCAAAGTTTCAATTGGATTGATACCTTTTAGTCTGGTCAAAAAAAAAATTACAAAGTTTGCTCAAGAAGCGCKCAAGATATTATGTTGGTCGACAGCGCACGATAAAATGTTTTAATACATTCAGTCGGATGTAATAACGCATTCCTTGAATATAAGATGTAGCGTTTAAACGCAAATGAACAAGTCTTTTGTTTTTACGATATCTTTGGGTTCTAATTGACCTCAGTTTTTCTCTCCTGTATCGCAGAATTTGATGCTTCTTAGAAGCATTCTTTACATGTTCAAAAGCGAAGAAAGCGAATCAAACATTTTGCATTCTATTCTTTCATGTCATGACGGAATGCGTTAAATCCGCCTAACAAAAATCAAAGAATTCTGTCAGAAGTTACAAATTACTTTCAATCAATAACAAAATAAAGAAAATCGATGCAACGCCTTGTTTATTTGCGTATTCCAATAATTGTCATGAAAATGGGCCAATTGTGAGCGTGTTCGTAAAAGCACAAAAAAACGCAACACATACAGGTTTAATCGTTTTTCTCAAAATCGGCTAGAAGAATTTCCCTGATTTTGAGATATATTATTAGCTATAACCTACAGTTAAACGCAGTACTTCTGGTTTTTCTAGGTGCCATCGAAATTGGCCGGAAAACAGCTTTCTTTGAATTCTTTCTTTCTACCATAAAACTGCTRTTTTTTCAGTAAATTAAAAATTGAGACATGTTTTAAATTTTTCCAAATAAGTAAAACATTGCCTGTTTATTTTAGGAAAAGCTACAAGTTGGTCAAACGGTCGTTTACAAATGTTAGGTGCGTGCAAACCATTATGAAACACCTTAAAAGGAGTCACAAAAAAGCAAGAATGCTTATGTAATTAGACCTCTAATCGTATAAGGAAGTAGCTGATCCTATTAAAGAGTGCTCAATACACAAAAAGTGTAGAGCTAGTTATATATATGATATCAAAGAGGCACGAAACTCGGAGTTACAGCAAAATCTTGCCTCTTTGATATCATATATATAATTAGACCTCTATAAAAAATAAAGTAAAGTTGTTGTTTAAAATGATCATTGATAAGAAATGTAGTAAAAATTAAAAAAACATGTTGATATTATATATTATACATACTTGTGTTCCACCCCCCACCCCCCCTTCAAGTAAGCAAATTCCATTAAAGCCCCCCCTTCATTGTCTGTTTATTTTTCAAAGCCCCCTACTTTTCCTCCAGCCCCCCCTCAGGCATAATTAATGAACGGTCCCTTATTACACCGACGTAGATCATAACTAGTTTACCGCTAGTTTTCACCTTTTTTCCTATTCATACTATAGACCCCTTGCAGTTCATGGGAATGCAGCTCCAACTGGAGGACAAATGAATAGATTCTAGTTCCCAAGAGGATAAAAAWMTTTTGTTTCGCCCTCCAGATGAAGCTGCTTTGACGTCACATGCAAGGGGTCTATATTGTACTGATTAGTASTACTTGGAGAGTACTTTGTCACAATTTTAATAGCGTTTACATTTTAGATAACTCATAAAACACTTTAATAGAATTTAATCAAAAAGCTATGAAATAGACATTAACTAGACTCATTAATAATTAGACATCGAGTGCGAAAGCGRCTAAGAAATGACAGCCCACGAAGCCGGATTTGTAGCGTAGCCAGTCAGAATCAGAGTGTAGCTTTGCACTAATCCACTAGACTAAGTATGGATACTAATACATTATAGTACGCACTAATTGAATTGTTTTCTTATGTGTCTATTTGACTAATTAACAATTAGACCTCGAGGTCGAGTGGACTACGAGCTAATAGCCCATGAGGCCGAGTCCGCGAGGCCGAATGGGCTATTAGCTCGTAGTCCACGAGGCCGAGAGGYCTAATTGTTTTAGTATAAACATACTAATGGTCAAATAATGAAAACAAATTGAAATATCCTTAAAATAATTYATTAATGAGATGCCGCCATTTTGATTTTCCCGCGAATGGTCTATCATAAATTAGACCATTAGTAGAGTAGCCAATCACAGCGCAGTATGAGTGATAGACCACTAGTATGTTTATACTAACACAATTTAGTAGTCATATTTGTTTCRCGGGTTTAAAATGCTTCACTCAAATGATATATCAMTCCAATGATCTACTCTTTTAGCACGCTCTGTACAAGTCCAAAGAAAAAAATGTTTTTATCTGAATGTGTAGCAAGTAGGGACATTTTTATAACTGATTTTAAATGCAAAAAAGGTCGAAAGTGAGGTGAAGTAAAAATACATATCGAGTTATCAAACTCATTAATAATTCATAATGTCATTAGCCAATGATATACTGAGAATCTAATCACGTGATTATACCTTTATATTGGATAAAAAGGTGCAGCAACCTCAAAGTTGGGGGCGTCTTTGAATATTTTCAGGGACGGTGCGGGGCTGATTGTTATTCAGGCGTTTTCCTGATACAGACCTAATTAATAAAACATTAGTTCTGTATCAATGATATAGAACTAATGTTTTATTAATTAGGTCTGTATCAGGAAAACGTTGAGCAATAATCAGACCAACACTCCCCTGAAAATATTCAAAATGTCTAAATTCGCGAGCAATCAAACACAATCAAACACAAAAAGATCCATGCTGATCCATTATCACATGTTAAACTTCACATTTTTTCTAATCCCCACCTTGTCCCGGGGTGGGGGTCGGGGTTACCGTTGACTCATGCATTACACTGGGGTAGAATGGACAAAATATAATTACAGGCATTTCGTGACCGCTGTTTACAAAAGACATTCCAACAAAACACGCGAATAGCAAACAGATTGTTGGCTTTAACGAGCTGTCAGGGGTGGCGAATGGTATAGATCCGTCGAGACGCCGAGATCGCTGTTTTAAAATCCGAGATCGAGATGTTAAAAATTTCCAAATTCCGAGAAGCGAGATTAATGTTTTTATGTTCTTGTTTATCGAGTTAACACGTAAAAAGCATTTATTTAGAACAATTACGCATTGAAAAATTCTTATAAATCGACGATCTCGAGAGCATGCCGGCAAATCAAAATCCGAGATCTTGTTGTAGAAATTCCGAGATCCGAGGCCGAAAAAATTCAGTGCCGGAAACACGAGATTCCGAGATCCTTTCTTTGGCAGTCCGAGATCTCGAGATTCTACCAAAAATTGCCGAGACCCAGTTATTTCTAGGTACCATTCGCCACCCCGAGCTGTCCAAACATTCAAAATCTTTACATAAATTCGATGTAAATACAAACCATTTATGTTTGCGTTTGAATAAATAAATCACTTAACTCTTTTTTCCACAGACATGTTTGGACCCTGATTGACCTACTGTAGTTTGTTGACAGTTTAAACTGACAACAAAATAGCTTATTTTAAAGCAGTTGTATTCATTAGAAGATTAATTAGATCACTTTGCAGTTTTGTTGAAAATGCAGTTTCCGATTTGAGCAAAGTACAATAATAAATCATGAGAACAAATATTTTGTTATGAATGCGTCTGCTTCGATTTAGCTGCTAGGTTACCCAAGCTTGACCGAAGCCAAGCCTAGCAAAAATTGGTATTGAATTACGCGACTAACTACTTTCCCTTCTTTGAATTGATTTACCTCACGTTTTCTTCAAGTTGAGCGGCATCAATGCTGTTTTGCAAGGTTTCCAATGCCTTTTCTCTCGATTCTTTCGTACTTTTTGCAACACTCCGGTTGCACTCTCTCTTGCTTGCATTCGATGGCGATGTCTTGCGAGAAAAGTACCCGATAAGAAATCCAGTTAGGAAAACTAATATTACAACAACGACTGCTATTATTATTAGACATCTTTTCCTCGATTTCTTCTTTTGACCAAATGTAAGTCCTTTGTCTTCATCAGCCATGTTTACGAAACGGTTCAGAGAGGTCGAGAGACTGCTGTGATGCTTGAGTGAGTCCTTTATGGCATGACAGAACA